AAGGATGAAAAAAAAAGACGCAAAAGAAAGAAAAAGAAGTTACCTCGGCACTGTCGTACTTCTTCTGATTTAAGAACAATGTAAATCGATGTACAACGTAGGCAGTGCATGCAGCCTTATATAGCATGGAAGAGATGACTTAAAAGAGTAAACTCCGATGTGGGATCATATGTTTTACAATTGTTTTCCGCATAGGATTCAGCTACTGCAATGTTTCTTCGAAGAAGGAGTCTAATCTCGGCGGCAATACAGGAATGCTAAAGCAACTCAGATTGTTATTGGGATTAAGGATCTTTCACGTGAAATGTATCTAATTATTACCATAAGAGAGAATTCGTTTCTTACTAGGAAATATAAATGTCATTGGCAGTTGCAATGTATATTAAAATGATAGTTTGCATGGTTGTGCCTTTGTCCTTGCTCAGTTATTACGTTGTTCAAGTAATTGAATGGATATACATGTAACAAATTGCATAGGTGATACTTGCATTCTAATCTGGCATGCGACAAATTTAATAGTCAGCCAATACTTCAAGTCTTGTCGGAGTGTAGATTTGTCGTAACCGAAAATGGGGCTTAGATAAAATGAAGTTAAATCTTCAAACAAGATGAAGTCATTAGCTTAGACGGTGTAATGGTCTTTGCTTCAGATAAAAGAAATCTTTGACTTAGACGGTGTGATGGTCTATGCCTTAGATAAAATGAAGTTAAATCTTCGAACAAGATGAAGTCATTAGCTTAGACGGTGTAATGGTCTTCGCTTCAGACGAAATAAATCTTTGGCCCAGACGGTGTAATGGTCTATGCCTTAGATAAAATGAAGTTAAATCTTCAAACAAGATGAAGTCATTAGCTTAGACGGTGTAATGGTCTTCGCTTCAGACAAAATAAATCTAGCCCGGACAGGGTAAAGGTCTATGCCTCAGATAAAATGAAGTTAAACAAGATGAAGTCATTGGCTCAGACGGTATAATGGTCTTCGCTTCAGATAATAAATCTTTGGCATAAACGGTGTGATGTTCTTTGCCTAAGATAAAATAAATCTTTGGCTTAGACGGTTAACGGTTAATGAGTACTCATCCCCTCACACTCCAAGATTGTCTTCTTCGTGCATGGATCATCTCGTTGAACAAGAACATATCTTTCTCGCTTGACCTACAAAAAAAATGACAAAAGAAGAAAAGCACAAGAAAAGAAGAAGAAATTACCTTCTCGTCAATGCTTCCAAGTCGTCAAAGGTAGACTCAAGTGGCTTGCAAATACTGCAAATTGATGCTCAATAAATATGAGCGTGGGGTTTATATAGATCTCCTATGAAGCTGATTGGGAAGTGAGATTTCGATGTGGGACATTGCTATAATTAGTTTTCTACAAGAACTTGACTAGTAAAGGCGGCAACAGCAATTAGTTTCCAACATGGAAAGAAACTCGAGGACGCATGTTTATCTCCTGGAATCCTTATTAGAGACAAAGAAGACTACCTTGCAAAGAATATAAGTTGCCAACGAATTCGTTTCGGACAGTAATTACGTGAATGTAATGAGATTACAACATATAGACTATAAACTTCAATCATTACAGTTTTGTCTTGTTCAAATATGAATTATCCTTAATACTTTTAAGGCAAAGTGCAAGTTAGCTGTGGAAATTATTCCGTTCGAAGCTCTAGTTTGACACTCGTGTTTGATTTTATTTTCTCGACTCAAATTTATTGTCTACAAATCAAGACCGAAAAATATTGCAACAATCGTAGTATTTGATTTTGAATATTTGAGTGTTACAATCTCTATGAGTCCTCTGATTCTTCCTTCCAATAGTAAATAAATTCAAGGGCCTTTGAGTTTGATCTTGAATTTGAATTTGATTTATCCGTCGCGAACACTTTGATTGTTGCCACGAATTGTATCACGAACAAGTAGCCTTGATCTTGAACACCTTGTATTTGATTTGACTTCGTTCTTGATCTTGACTTTGATTGCTTGAACTTGAACTTGATTTGTTCTTCGTTCTTGAGCCTGAACTTGATTTGTTCTTCGTTCTTGAGCTTGAACTTGAACTTGATTGCTTGAAGCTTGAAACTTGTGGAGGAATTTGCAGTGTTTGATCCACGAGCTCTTTCTTGCTTCTTGTTATAACTTCTGGTGTCTTTTCTGAGTTATGAAGACCCCTAGTTATAGTTGTGGAAGGGAAGAGTTGTGATAAGAACAAACTCTTTCCGACCAATCAAATTGAAGTATGAGATGGCCGCATTTGATTGGCCAAAACATGTCACTTGCACACGTGGCGCGATTTAATTGGCCTTTCAGTGTGACTGGGCATGCCTTGTCATTTTGACACGTGGCATGGTCCTATTGGCTCTTCCGCTTGACTTGGCGCGCCACGTCATTTGACACGTGGCACCAAACTGGGCCTCTAGGAGGATGACATCTTGGGCTTAACGAAGTGGGCTCATCACTTTAGCCCAGTCAAATGGGCTAGCCCAATGGATTAAGACTTATTTATTTAATCCATATATATTGGACTTATATAATTAATTCATTATATTAGCCCATATATTTATTTGGACCAATACATCTTGAATTTAAAATATAGTCCAAATTATTTTACATATTCAAAATTCTAATAAAATTTATATGCTTACAGTAGTCTTTCCATTTTTATTAGCTCTTGAAAGGTTAATAGGTTTAAGCGGTATATGCACATTAGGCAGCCTGGTGCACAAGGTATCCCGCGTTTACGAAAGGTCCGAGGAAGGGCCGCACCCTAAGGGGTGTGATGTAGACAGCCTACCATAATGCAAGCATTAGTGGGCAAGTGGCAGAGGCACATTATTTCTTGTAAATGTTTGTAAGTTGCTAATCTCCTTTTACCAGGAGTGGAGGTAGAAGCCAAATATAGGTTCGACCGAACTAAGTTACTTTTGTTCAAATAGTGTATTTATGTTAAGAAATTCATTAAGTATGTACTCATTGAACTTAGAACTCACCTATTAACATTTATAGTTGTCCTTCTAAAATTTAGAACACATAAAGTTGAAATCCTGCCTTCGCCTTTGCCTTTTACTCTGATATTCTTAGCTGAATTCTTTGTTGTATCCCTATTTCTTGATTTTCAATTTGATGGAAATAAATGTATGAACAATCATATAATGTAGATGAAATTGAACTTGCATCTGCTACTTTCCATTCTCAATTGCGTATCAATATGTCTTGAAATAAGCTCTAAGTTTTGGTTATATTCATATTACATGATTGGATGGATCTCGATCTCCGTTGTGTAGATTTGATTAGGATTGATTCTTAAGATCGAGCCCTAGTCAGAGGCGTGCCTATCGACACCTGTCAAAGTTTTCGGCCCTGAACTTGTAAAACTTTTAGACTCTTTAAAATGATCAGTATCATGCCATAACAAAGACAATCTCTTGTATAATTTGATGATAGTTAGACTTCACATCTATGTTTAATCTCTCTTGATGATGACAGGCTATAATTACGTATTTTAGTCGATTATTACACTCTAATTTACTGCACTTTAATTGAGTTTGAGCTTTAATCGCTAGTATTTTGCACTAATTGTATGTTTTATGCCTTGTAGGAGTGATTCCGAGCTATATAGATGTTATGGAATGAATTCAAGTGATTTGGAGCTTTAAAGTTTGAGTAAAAGTTCAAGGAATTAAGCCGGGATCGTGTTTGGGGGTCAACGGATGATAGTTAGAGCGAACGAAGACTCCAGTAGGCAGATTGCGCACTGTCTAGTAAAATAGACATAACTTTTTGCTCAAAACTCCATTTTGGCTCCACAATATATGGTTGGAAAGTTAACTCAAAGGGTTACAACTTTCATGTTTTACGTTTTTCCAAATTCGGAATGGAACAGGGTGAAAAATGCCCAGATTCGCGGCCGCGCTAGTTTTAGCGCACCCAGAAACAGAAAGTAAGTCAATTAGCGCGCCCAGATGCGCGGTCAAATGCGCTGCAGCGCTAGTTAAGCCCGGGAAAAGTGTCCTTTTTCACATTGGAGAAGGTATAATTGTTTGGGCCTAACCCTACTTGGTATATATACATAGGAGAACGTTTTTGAGAGCAATTTTTGACGAAGGAAGAGCACAGAGCCGCCGTGGAGGCCGGGTTTCATCTTTTCTTCCATCAAACTTAGTAATTTTTATGTTTCTTTGTATGATTTGTTGTTTTGCTACCATGTCTATGTGGAGCTAAACTTCACGTTCTAGGGTTGTGGTTCTTTCATGACTATTGTTATTCGGATATTGATTTTGATTGCTTAGTTTATCATATTGGTTTATTTATTCAATCCTGCACTTAATTATTTGATTGCTTGATCACCAATTGAATACTATCTACGAATCTAGAGTTGAACTCGAAAGTGGGAATTCTAGATTGCATATAGGATTGAGTAGAGCAAGTTCTTGAACCTGGGCCTCGGGGAACGGATTCGCGGTTAGGATAGACATATACCTAATTGCCTTGCTTGGTTAATTTACAAGAATTATAAATGCGTTCTTGTTGATTCTAACTCCATAGACATATAGGCGTTAGGTTAGCTTGAATAGGCGAGTAAGAACTCGACAGATTCTTATGAGCAATATTAACCTTGTCAACCAATAAACTAGATAAATTAGTTAGTCAATTCAATTGAAGAATACAATAGGAATGTTAGATAGCCCATAACCCTAGATCGTTTTCATTACATTGATACCATAAAAATCTGCTCTTTCTCTGTCCAAAGTTCATTATTTGTTTTTATTTATTTTAATTAGTTTAGAATCAAATATTTCTAGGTTTAATTCTTGTTTAGATAATTAGGATAGTCTAATTTAGTTAATAGTTAATCACAAGTCCTCGTGGGTTCGACATCCGACTTTTAGTCACTTTATTACTTGACGACCGCGTATATTTGCGTGTGCGTTTGGCCGCAACACTTGACTTCAAAGAAAATGAATAAAATGAAGCACCAAATTAGTACAACAATCTCTTGTATAATTTTGGTCTTTTTGGAAACCAAGCTCAATTTGATCTCAATTTTTTTGGTTTAACCATCTCGTATCCGATAGTCATTGGCTCGACTAATTCAGATTCACGCCGCATAAAGTCTATTAAGGGATAAGCACTCCCGATACTTGATTTTATATTTATTTATTGTTTTGGATTTTTGTATATAGTCTTGGAATTAGCTAGTATAAGTTTTGTTTGCTGTCCAAATGAATGGCAAGGATTTCTAAGTTTGTGCTTTAAAACCAGTTGCATTTGATGCTAATTTTGGCATCATATGGTCTTCAAGTTGTTCTCTTTTGATTGTGCTGCATTTTTCTTCATCATTTCTCTCTGATTTGTGATCTTCTTTTCCCCATAAGAGCAAGTAAAGGCCAACAATGACTATTACTGCTCCTATTATGCTGAAAAAATGTGAAGAAAAAAGTGTATATTTAGAACAAGAAATTATACCATATATATACTAAGTCCGCATCAATTGTTACACAGAGTAGTGAATGTAGGGGAGAAATTCAAAAATAGCCAGCTTTACAGGTGGTCGATTAAAAATAGCTCAGTTTCATAAGTAATCGAAATTTAGCCACTTTTGATGTAAAGATAAATCTGAGTGAAAACACTGTTCAAAACCCGGAAAATACGCCAGTATATTATGCTGGAGTTCTAGCATAAGTATACTTGAACTCCAGCATATTATACTGGAGTTCCAGGATAAGTATGCTGGAACTCCAGCATAATATGCTGGAAGTTCATACACAGGTGCACCGAACTCCAGTATATTATGCTGGACCGGTCTCTGTTGCAGCAAAATAGTGGCTATTTTTCATTGACTTGATAAATGCTGGCTATTTTTGAATGACCAGTTCTAAAACTGGCTAGACCGTGCTATTTTTACTGAATGTAGTAGTAATATACAGTCACTAATTTAACTTCTTGGGTAAAGATTCTTTACCCCTGAAGTTTCGATTTGTCCTTCGTTTACCTTTCACTTTCAGCCAATGAAAGTCATGCATCGTCAATTTCGTCTCGTATTTGCCCCTCTCTATAATGGTTGTCCAGCTTGGCTCTAATAATTGACACGATGGAGCCACGTAGACGAACTAAAGATCCAAATTTATTCCTAAACTATCATATTACTCTATAGTATGTATTATGTAGCCTCTTCTACAATATATTGCGACTTGTCCCTGAACAATTAAAAAAAGTTCAAGTATACCCCTAAACAATTATAAGGTCCAAATATACCCTACGTGTCGTGACCAATTTTTCCAGGGTAGAAAATCGTTAGTGGGAGGGGCATATTTGAGATGAAAGATAACGATGGGGCCCTATAGGCTGAAAGGCAAATGGAGGTTATATATAAAGACAAATCGCAAGCGTTGTCATCAGCTCGTGTTGTATGGTGTTGGGTTAAGTCACATAACGAACGCAACCCGTAAAGGTATATTTGGAGCTTTTCCCTAAGTTCTTTAATCCATCTCTATTCTCCTCACACTCACAAAAAGAAAAGAGAAAACAAGAAAGAGTTGTTTACCTGCCCATATATAGCTTTTCCCCAAAGACAAAGTATGCTAGAATTGCCACTAATATAGTTGATAGTGGATTGAACATAGTTACAAAAACAGGTCCCTTTTGCTCAGTGCACCAAAGTTGAATAAACACCACTAAACCAGAGATCACTATACCCTGTTTTAAATAAAAAACAACACATTAAAGTTTGTCACATCCAAATTAAGTTTCAACAACAACAACAAAAGAATGGCAGCCGGTGCACTAAGTTCCCGCTATGTGCGGAGTCCGGGGAAGGGTCGGACCACAAAAGTCTATTATACGCAGTCCCACAAGTGGAGTCTCCGGAAGATAGTGTGTATGCAGACCTTACCCTTACTCCGAGGGAGTAGAGAGTCTGTTTCCGGTAGACCCTCGGCTCAAGAAGACGAAAAGAGAGACAATTTATCAATACTATCAACAGAAAATAATAGAAATAATGACAGCAACATTAGAACAAGAGAATAGGTGAAAAATAATAACAATAACCAGTAAATAAGGCCCGGCACAATGAATCCAAATTAAGTTTCATTAGAGAAATAATTGAACCCTTCTTACACCATATATTGTTGACCAAAAATCAATGTTGAAACCAATGGTCCAAGCAGCTCTTTTATGTTGTACAATGACTGTATAGAAAGCTGATTGTGCTGCTCCAACAAAACTCATCCATGTAGTTAGTGACAATTGTGCTGGATATCTTTTTAGTGTGTAAGCCTGTAAAATTTTTAGGTAAACTAGTTAGAAAAAGAATTTCACTTTGAAGATGTAACAAGTTTATGTGTATAAATCTACTAAAATTGCAAACAAATTGTATATCTGAACTCATACTTATAAAAATACAATAGATTTAATGCTAAGAATCTTAAATATTTAACCCATAAAGCGTAAAATATTGGATCCACCTCTGATAACAGTCTAACGCCAGAGGCGGATCCAGGATTTAAATTTTATGGGTTCAGATTCGCAATTCTACCATTTCTCATCTAATTTAATGGGTAAAAAATTTTATTTGTACATATATAATGATTTTTTGGACAAAAATACAGGGTATGAGCGAAAGCTATGGGTTCAGTTGAACCCATAGCTTCTACGCTAGATACGCCTCTGTCTAACGCTCGCTAAGTGAACCTTTAACCCCGAGCATAAATCAAGAAAAATAGAAAAAACACATAATGAAGATCCAAGTGTCTCCGTACTGTTAAACGCATGCAAAATGGGGTGTCGGGAAGCCCCTGTACAGTAGCGGAGTCAGGAGTTCATACAAGGGGATTCAAAATATACTAGTATGTCGTAGTCGAGATTTGAACTGTGAATTAAAACAACCTTTGAACCCCCTTAACCTTTTACACTAAAAAATTTTCAAGGAGATTCGACAGTTTATATGTAATTGAAAAGTTTGCACAGTATAATTTTTCGGCGAATAGGATGAAATTGGACCCCTTTACCTGCATGATGTACCATATGGACCATGTAATGCAGCTAGCAACAGTCAAAATGGAGCCTTTCAACCAATTTTCATGCACAAAACTGCCACCTCTTTGCATATAGATGAGTGGTTGCCATAGGTTTTTCAGACAAACTCCTTTGTACAATGTCATTGTCATTACACCAGCCAATGAAACCAATGTTCCTAAGATTTTTGCTATTCCCCTAGGATCTCCAACATTAACAACTTCCAACCTAGTAAAATTAAAAAAGAAAAATTGAGTTTAAGTTCTATCCACTGTCAGTATAAAGGATATTTACACTACCAGGTCACTAAATAAGTAATAGCAGATAACATCTATTAAATAGGGCAACTCGGTGCACTAAGCTCCCGCTATGCGCGGGGTCGGGGGAAGGGCCGGTTAATACGATTCTATTGTACGCAGCCTTACCCTGCATTTCTGCAAGAGACTGTTTCCACGGCTGAATAGGTAATAGCAGATAACATCGATTAGTAAACTAAATTAAATGTTAAGTGACATGTTATAGCATGTCAAATCACATTGATGGTGTAAAGATTTTTACACTATCAGCCGTGGTGGAGCTACATAGCTCCAAGAAGTGTCAACTGACACTCTTTCGCTGAAAAAATACACTGTTTAGGTAAGTAAAAATTGTTCTTTTATGTATATATAATATATATTTTATTCCCTTGGCTTCTTCATGTATTTAATTCTTTAAATTTTGACATGTCTTAGTGAAAATTCTAGTTCCGTTAGTAACTGCCTGTATATATAACTTAAATCCTTTTAATTGATGAGTTTAAGTTCAGCACACTGAGTTGAAGTAAACACTCCATAGTTAGATTTTAGTTTCATAAACTGTTAATTTTTGCATTCTTTTCTTGAAATTATTGAGATTTAATTACCTGAGTATTACTGCTAATACAAAGGTTAGTGCAGCAATAGTGTTGACCATAGAAGATACAAAAGTTGGAGAAGTGAAATTCAAGCTCACAAAGTACATATTCAACGTCAAACTCACTCTGAAATGAAGAAAAAATTGTTAGTAATTTTTTTTCCTCAAATCTATATTTCAAAAGGATGATATGATTGATGTTTAACTGAGCTTACCCCATAAGAGAAAGTACAAAGATTTCCAATAGCAAAGACAAAGTTAACTTTGGTCTTGTTTGTCTGCATAAAAGAAACAAAACCCTTTAGATAGTACTCTTCGTAGTTTGATTATGCACGAAATTTATATGGAGTAATCTGATTATGCACGAAATTTAAGAAAGACATAAAGATTTTTGGACGTCGTAGTCTTAAATATATCATAATATTTGTGTGGCTATAAAAGCTTCTCATTAAAAATAAAGTAAAGAGTTTGAGTTAAATTATTTTCAGACTAAAAAGTGTGTCAATCCTTTTAACTGACTTGTAAGGAAATAGTATCACATAAAATGGAACAGAGGGAGACAATAGCTTGAAGCATTTCATAGCAGTTTCCCCTCCCTCCCTAAAAAGGATATATTAACGATTATGCATTGATTTTGCACTATCAGGTCACTTGAAAGATAATAACATATAATTATTCTATAATAAGTAGTACCCGTTACCGAAAAAAATAAAGCAGATAACCTGCTATAACAGTTGAATTATACTGAAAGTTATCTCCGTGTGACCCATAGGTCACGGGTTCGAATCGTGGAAATAGCCACTAATACTTTCATTTGGTTAGACTATATCTATATCACACCTCTTGGGATACGGTTCTTTGCCAGACCGATACTTTGTGCACCGAGTTGCTTTGTTTTACTGCATGTATTTGGATTAGAGAAAAGTGATATATACATACCTTTCGAGAAAATAGGCAAATGGTAACATAACTAAACCACCAACAATATGCCGATAAGTAACGTAGACATGAGGATTCATCCCATGATTGAAGGAAGCTTCAGTTATGAAATACAGAAAAGTATAGCAAATCTGAGCTAAAATCATAAGAAAATGAGGTTTAAACTTCTTGAAAATGCCCATAATAGCCATCTTCTTGTCTTTGACAAATTACTAATACAATAAGATCAAGAATTTAAATACCAGAAAATATAGACAATTTGTAAGAATGGGATCTTGTTCTTGATCAACATATTCTTATGATAATCTGACACTATTCTCCAATATAAGGATAGAATATAATATGTTTCTTGTTTTTTCTTTGTAAAGAAAAGCAAAAACTTTGAGAAAAGATTTAAAGAATGGAGAAAATAAAATATTCTAGTGATGAATTATTCTTGAATATTTAATTAGAAAAGACATAAAAAGTCATTCAACAAACATTCCACCACCTGAAATGACAAAAGGAGTGCAAGATTATTGCATTATAGATTGTACGTGTAATAGTTATTCCTCCTTTATATAAGGAGTATTGTCCTTCATCTATGTGTAGTCGCGGAGCTACAGTATTAGTTACGGGTTCAGACGAATCTTGTAGCTTTTGCTTGGACACTGTATTTGTATTAGAAAATTCGTTAAATTTCAAAATTCTGATTCCGTCTTTGTTCATTTAAGAGTTAGGGGAGTGTTGGAAGAGAGTTGTGAAAAACTAAGTTTTCTCGAAGAGCCATTTGTATAAACCTCTTTTGTAAGTGTAATGAAGGTTGGATAAAAAAGTGTGATTGTTAAGTTATTCTCGGCATAATTTTGGGATCCACTCCTTTAATTTTGAATCGTCTTTATCATCATGCATACAGTAGATTGCTCCACTAATTAAAAAAATAGGTTTGATGATGGAACCACATAAAATTCTTTTGCAATTTAGGGTACGTTTGAGAAGTGCTGGTAACATAGAAAATGCGAATGTAGCATGTGTATCCCGTATTCACACAAGGTCCGAGGAAGAGTCGCAGCCAAAAGGTGTGATTTAGACAGTCTACCTTAATGCAAGCACTAGAGGCTGCTTTCACGGCTCGAACCTGTGACCTATAGGTTATACGAAGACAACTTTATCATTATTCCTAGGCTCCCTTTCAATACAAAATATCCATCTATATAAAATAAAAAATCATAAGACTTTCTCGGCAACAAAAGAAATATTAACAAAATGAGCCAATGATGGATTTCGCACCACAAAATAAGTCGAGAAACCAAGGAGGTTCGCAATATTGACAACTACCTATACAACATGCAATTGTAGCCTTTTGTTTGCCAATTTGCCACGAAAAATGCAACGCTATATGGATGACTAATACTATAGATTGATTAATAAACTAATCCAACTACGTATCCATGTTACAAAGATTTACTCAACACGTACATTAACAATCATGTTCCAAAGATGAGCATACTTCAACATTAAATTTACATGAAGTCAGAGGCGGCCCGACGAATTTTGTAGCCTAAAGCTAAATTTTATGAGGGGCCTTAACTTTTCTTTTTCCAAAAAAGAAATTATGATTTTTTAATTTGAAGTATATTTTTTTCGTTCTTTTAGATGCAAAGTTATGAATAATTTCAAAATCTATTTTGAAGTGAAAAACAGTATAAAAAGTAATCAACTCTAAAGGACTATTCGAGAGATTATGAGATTTCATTATCAACATTTTTATCAAATCGTTTCTTCCTATATATCACACGTTTCTTACGAATTCGAGTTCGATATTCATTTCAAATACAATTTCCTTGACAGAAATCATAGTAGTTACAAATCATTCTTCTCTATATTTGTTAAAGAAAGAAAACAAACATTTTCACTTCACGGGCCTTTTTTTAAAATTTATACATAGCTTATTAGATGTAACAAAAAATGAGGCCCTGCCCCTACAAATGTGGGGCCTAAAGCATTTGTTTTACCTGCTTTAGGGAAGGCCCGCCCCTACATGAAGATGAACGAAATGGAATGCATAGTTTACCTTGACCTTGAGCAGAGGCGGAGCCAGGATTTAAATTTTATGAGATCTTAAATTATCATCGAACTCATAGCTCGTCTCTTTACAGGGCTCGCAACTAAATATTTTTAGATATTCACAAAATTTTCTCATATAAATATAGGCTCTAAGCAAAAGCTACTGTATTCGTCTGAACCTGTATCAATTTCTCTAGCTTCGCCTCTAACCTTTGAGATATGTCGAACACGGGCAACTTTTTACACACTAAACCTACTTGAATGCCGGAATAACTATAACTGCAACATGAAGGATGTGGTGCAGTGGATGGGACTGCTCTCCCCTTAACCAGAGGTCTCGAGTTCGAGCCCTGGGTATGGAAAAATCCTTGGTAGGGAGCGTTTCCCCCCGAATGGGGCCCTACGCGGTGTGAATCTGGATATAGTCGGGCTCCAATGCGTGTACCGGATACTGGGTGGGGGAAAAAAACTAAAAATTCGTTTAGTTGACTCTTTATCTGTGTGCTATAAGGGGTATATGCTGCAGTTGCCAGCATCAGAAAATATCATAAATGCCAATTCTTTAAATTTATTCGAAATATATAAAGTCCAAAAGCTAAATATAATGTGATCAACTACCTTTTGCTACTGCTCCCTTGATGAATGACCAAGAGAATAATGTGAAATACAAAGAATATAAGATAAGGTGCTAGAAAATATAAAACGATAACATCATTTTATGTTCAAAGAATTTATCCCCAGATGCTAAAAATCCAAGAATATATGAGAATTGCATCTGGGGTGGGAAAAGAATGATGGCCGAATTAGAATTGAGAAGATGCAATGGAGAGAATTTTCTAAATTTTGTAATAAAAACATCAATGTTATTTATTACGTATTATTTTTCCTAATTGGGAAAGGAAAAGAAAATAAGGCAACTAGTGGCCAACAAATATATTTCCCCTTTATATTGGTTTTAAGGGAAAAAAACAAAAGGAAAATGAAGCTCACTCTTATTTTTGTCTTCACTATTTTTGTTGGATTTACTTTTCTCTTCCATTATTATAAGATTTCTCCACTGTCTTTTACTCCTTGAGCCATACATAATAAGTAAGAAGAATTAACACCAGGTAGTCACTCTAAAGGGCTACTATTTAGGAATTAGTCAGTGCATCCTGAATTTCAATTTTTGAGTTCGAATTTTCAAGACAAAAATATCCTGAATTGTCATGAAGTTAGGATTTTTAGTTTAAAATTTCAGAACAAAATAAGTACTTGTTAATTTCTAAATAGCATCACTGTGAATGGCTATATATTGATTTGACCAAATAGGACACTTCGGTGCAAATCGACAAGAGCAGACCAGAAAGCTAGAATGTGAGAACCAACAAAAGCTATCAAATAAACTACAGCAGAAGCAATTGCTATTTCAGTAGTCAAATGTAAGTGTTTTCAACTAAATGTCCCCTATTTTTTGGACTAATTGATGTCTAAATCCATTTTCTAAAGAGTGAAACTTACATCCTCAGAAAAACGAGATAACATAAACGAGCTACAAAGTTTGGAAATTCAACCAAAAGAGAGCAAAATGAGAGTGCAGTAAAACTGCAAAATACAACGCTTACAAGAAACTCTTCAGGGGCTATGGCGTGCTGTGAATCAATCACAAGAAATTGAACCTATCTCGTCCTTTAAACTGTTTTTGTCTTAGGAGCCTTCTTCTTTATGGATCTCCTAGGCATAGAGTTCTTCATGCCGATAAAGAAGAACAGTGCGCCAAGGAGTGCCAAGCTCTGTCCAAAAAGATAGTGCAAAATACACTACTTAATAAACCTTGCAAAGTTTTGCAATAGCAATTTGGTAATGAATGGAAGAAATAAAAATCTAAAGAGACATCCTTTAGCTTACCTGAGTAAACTTGACAAAAAGTTGAGCAAACTCTTTCTTGTCAACATCATAGTTGTAGAAGTCATACAAGATGGGAGTAGTAATGGCCTGATGCAAAAGCTTCATTGAGCAAAAACCAAGATCAAGATGCAGTCAGCAAGATGAAACAAGCAAAGTTCAAATAATTCATAAAGCAACTTCGACAAATAATTTAAGGAAATAGAAGATACACACCAGGATGTAAGCTCCAAGAGAGCTACCAAAGACAAAAAGAAGGCTTCCAAGACCCTTCATAACTAAGGCCCCCAACACTAGGTGTTTCATCTGTGAATGACATATGTTAAGTTAGAGAGAGCAAGAGAGACAATTGTTAAAACTAGATTCAATTCAGCAAAGCCGAATTGTTACCTCTACATGTGGTACATGCAATCCAGTGTGTGTCGTCACATGCTTTGAGAAAACATTGAACTTTGGACTTAAAGCCTTTGCTGCTGACCCACCGTCAACCCCAAATTCGCTGAATCTATAAACAGCTATCGTATATGAGGCATGTATGCAATTAAGAATTACAGAATTCACAATGTAATTTTTTTCATTATGGCTAACAGCTTTTTCAATATTTTCCGACACCTTAAAAAAATATGAAATAAAAAGAAGGCAAATACAGGCAAATTTGGGGTACATATGTCAGCGGGTAGATACTAGATACAACTCCAATATTGCTCCATAAACAAGCCTACAGCTCTGCTCGATGGAAAAGTATCCAGATCTATCAATTTATATCTTCCCAGAAGCATTTCAGCAAATTTCTGGTGAATGAGCAGCATGATTGAACCTGATTATCATCATAAGTATGAATTTATCTCTATAACGTTTGTTTGACTAATTTTTCCTCCTAAACGAGGATTCTACATAAAGGATAGGAGCACAACTTGCTGGCCAATATAACTGATTGTGACGTTGCAGCATTAAGTTCCGCACCTTGGTACTTATTCCCCCAAACTAACAGCTTCTTTTACACAGACATGTCCCAGGAACATAAAAAATATAGGCAAGTCAACAAACAGAAAAGATTTTCATATATGATCCATTTCCGTCAAACCAGTAAGTTAATGTTGAGCGTCTGACAAGATCTGGAACTGAATTTTGTATGTTTAGCATGAAAAGACTTCACACATAGCAGTTCAGCTCAAGATCTGTATTACAACATAACACAAGCAACAGGCGAGGTTGGACTGTTAACTCCGAGAAGAATAATGTTACAACCCCCAATGCCATTCTAAATGTCGTAGCAGCAAAATAGATTTGATTCAAAATAAGTGTCATTTTAGGAAACCAAGAAGGCGTTAATTTTTGTCCCTCAATCTACCCTTTCTCCAATAAATGATTTTCAAACATGTCTCTCAACAGTTATTACTCATTTTAAGGAGATATAATAAAGGTAATTTAGTCAAACAACTCTTATGATTAATGCTATTAAATGATTTATCAGTCATTTGCAAACCTATTAAGAAAATCATTTAATAGCATTAATCATAATGGATATTTGACTACATTACCCTT